GAAATAATAAAATAAATATTTTACATCATTCTTTCTCTCTCAGCACCGCTTTTCCTTTTCGTTATTTTAAATATGCGCTTGCCTGCGGCATCCCTTCGAGCATCACCCTTATCTTGGGTTTTTATTTTCTTTATTTTTAATAAACGCACAATTTTACCTCTGATTGTATTTTTTATGTCCACCTAATATTTTAATTTTTTTAGTGGTGAAAGTCTATCATAATTTTTTGTGTAATTTTAGTCATGATCTTTTTATTTTCATGTAATCTTACCCACTACTAAACATATATATAAACACATGACTGCACAAAAAAAAAAGATTATGAGTAAAATTGTAAAAAAAAAAGGAAGAAGAAAAGATCATAGATAAAATTATACATATGAAAAAATTGGGTGCTGGATGCACCTAAAATCAAGAGTAAAATTGCGCTTTTACCTTTTTTTTTTTTTTAATTGTCATCGCTTTGCAAATTTTTTATTTTTATATATTAGTGTATTAATTATAACATAGTTAATTCTCACCTAATGATTCTTTAAATTATAAAATTATTTCAGAAATAAAAAATTATTGACAATTTAAAATTCAAAATCAGTTTCATTAGAAATTAATATTGTATTAAAATAATTGTAAAAATAAATAAAACATTATAAAGTACATACTAACACAAATATTCAAAAATGATTTTTTCATAAAAAAGTTAAAATTAAAATTATCATATAATTTATTTTTAGTTTTTAGTAATATATATGTGTATAGATAATTATTTGGATAAAAGAATATTACAATATACTCCTTCGGTGTTAAATATAAGACCCTTATACACACTTGTATGAGGGTTTTATATTTAGAATCGAAGGAGTATATAATTTTGCATAAAATTTCAGCATGTTCGTTACAGCTCAATTGATGAAGACCCCTTACGCACGCACAAGGTTCTTTATTCAGATCATGGAAAAGTCACTTTGAAAAGAAATTATGTGATAACGACATGTAACAGCGAGATCGCATGTGAAATAGTGACATGTGGGAGGTTGGTGGAGTTTGAGGTGGCAACAAAGGTGAAATGGTGATAGGTGGGGATGGACGTGAGGTGGCTGGTAGTCATCATCGGTGATGAGGCGCTGGCTAAAAGAAACGTCACGTGACATTTTAAGTTTTTTTTTTAAAAAATTGCATTAATGATGAAAAATTTGTATCGCTAAATTAGTAACAACATTTTTCTCTTCTGTTACTAATTAGCGATTGAAAATTTTTTTCGGTAATTCATGTTGAAAAATTTTATCGCTAACTTAATTAGTGACAGAAGAATTAACGATAGGTGTTCCGTTGCCAATTCCGTTACTAAATTTTGTTACTAATCACATATTTTTTTATGATGATATTTATCAATACAATTTTCGATTTACCTTATTTTTTAAAACCATAGCGAAATGTAGATCACAAAATTTCATGATGTAATCGTCAAACAAGAAATATTCAAAAAATTCATGAGGCACACTGACGCATATTTTAAAGCAATTATCAACCACTATAAAAAAGTTAAATAAGTAGGGCTCATTTTGTTGCAATTATTTTAGGTCTGACATGATTTGTTTTTTTTTTTTTTTGGCTTTTTTTTGGTTGTAGATCTTTTGAAGTTTGTCCACATTAGACGCGGATAATTCAAATACAATAAGTTCTTGTCTATAATTTTATACGTTCTTTCTTTACTTCTCTTAGTACTAATTAAGCAAGTTGTTGCATTTAGTTTTTTTAACATCTTGACTATAGTTAAAAAGTCGATAAGAGTATAATACTAATTTGTTATATATTATTTAATTTAATATTGAAAGTTGTAATCGTGCCGTTAGCTGTTATTTATTGTTGTAATTATATTAGAGAGACAAATTTATTTGTTGTTATAGTAATAAGTTAATTCTGATGTTGTTTGGTATACTAATTGTCTGTAAATATTTTTTGAATTTTATTGGTGATAGGAAAAATTTGTCAGAATTGAAAAAATATTTTTGTATTATGTAATTTTTTTTGAAAAAAAAGACATGCTATTGCGTTATAGAAAGTATATCTTTTTGAAGCGCTTTATATATCTTTCCATCTCAATCTTTTTAGAACTCTTTTTCAAGGGAGCGCTAAAACATATTATTAATTTTTTTTTGAAAAAAAATTAGATGCTTCAAAGCACCACAACTTAGTTTTCTCGTCTTTCATAGCAGATTCATATATAACGTTTTGAAAATGCTACAAAATTAAAAAAAAAAAGGTGCTACGGGTTATCCCCCCCCCCAATGACATTAAAATCAATGTCATTGCTCCAAAAATTTATTCCTCTCATCAGATAATTCTCCTATTTTTTTCAGGTCAAAATTTGACCCCCAACTAATTTTTTCTTAATTTTTCGTGAATTCCCCCTTTTAAGATAAAAAATAATTCTAAGCTTAAATGTTTCATTTTCTTAGGAAATAACGTTATCCATTAATTCAATCGAATTCTCACATATTTATTCTCCACATTTTTCTAATTACTTGGGTATTTTGCATAATTTTAAATTATGGAATGTTGGCTAAATATTAATTAATTAGTCAAAACTAAGCCTTTTGATCCAATATGTTTTTGTCGAAGCTAGTATATTTCTTTAACACCTCTTGTTAGCCTTAAAGATTTATTAGAAACATTTTTTCTATTTTTTTAAATTTACCAAAATTATTTTGCATTTTTGAGTTAATTTTTGATGAAAAGATCTGAAATTTTTTTAAATTACTCTCTTGCTCTAACTTGACTTTTCTTTGACACTTTCATTTACTTCGAATACCGGAATCCCATTTGACGCTTATATGTATAATTCTTATTTTTTTTTCATACGCATTTAGTCTTATTTATAAGTTACTTTCAACATGTTTTATACAGATAAAAAAAAACTTTAAAATTCATTAACTCTCATTTAAAATTCAATAATTTTTCAACTTTATCCCTATTTAATATATATTATACCTCATGTAAACAAAATCAACACAATAATAAATCAAGTGTAAAATTGTATATCCATACGAAAAATTTCTTTCAATACCTTATAGATAGGATTAAAAAATATCTTCTCTTTCTATCCTACAAGTAGGATCAGAGAAGTATTTGAATTACCAGATATGAAAATTTACATAAAATAATTGCTTTAAATAATACTCCCCCTCATCTAACATCTCTTAGGGGTGTTCCTATATATAAGTAATCATTTGATTTTGTGTAAGAATTTAAAGTATTTTTCTATTTTTATTCCCAATTAATTACATGTCTCTCTTATTTCTTTTTCCCACTCATTGTCTCTCATCTTTTTTACCATTGATTTTGTCTCACACTCCTTTTCATAAATAAGGGTATACTTAAAAGAAAAAACTAATTTTAACTAATAGCTTGATTTGCATGATTTGGGTAGATGTTATTTATAAAAAGTACCGAAGAAAGTAATGAATATTTGGATCACTTTGAGCCTGTTTGGTATGCTGAAAATATATTGAAGGAAAAGGAAAATCATAATTTTCCATGGGCAGAGCGCGTTTTGCTGGCAAATCTTCCGAGAACCAATTTTCTGGTGGCGCTGGATTTTCCTTTATATATGGGAAGATGATTTTCACCGATTTTGGCAGGAATTGATTTTCCGACGTGGTGGGAAAATTTCAAAGACGAGTTTACCTATTTGTCTTAGGTTCTGGTTCCTTTTTTCGCTTAGGCATCTGGTTCTTCTTGTTTAAGAAGATGGTTGGGGAAGTAAAGAGGAGCACTGCAGTTGAGATGAAAGTGGGTACGACTCATTTTGACGCCTAACACTATCACTATAGTGAAATTTGAATGACAAGTTTGTTTTCAAGATTTTGCGATTAGCTTTTTTTATGAGATACTCTAAATCTTGAAAACCCATCAATATATCAGAAAATAAGCATGAACGTTTCTAAAGGTGCGACGTCAAAGCGGAAAAAAAAATCAATGAAACTAGTCTGAAAAAGTAAAGGAAACTAGAGAAATAAAAGTAATGGAGGCCACTTAGTACCAGCACAAGTACATATGGAGGGGAAGGGTGTTTCTATAAATAATATATGGTCTGTCTAATGCTTAAGAGCCAATTTGTAATTTTTTGCTTAGGTGTCTTTTTTGCATCCCTTACTTGTTGCTTCATATGTCCGTGTGTACACACACGCATGCATTTGTTTTGCTTCATATGTGTATGTATTATATATATTTATATATATATATATATATATATCTGCGTGTTTGTGCACAAAAAAAAAAAAAGAATATGGCATCGTTAGCCAGGTATACATCATGCTCACCGGAAGCAGAATTATTCATTAGCCATATACAATAAGTTTCCCTCGGTGTCTGCGTTTTTTATTCTTCTTTTTAATTTCTTCTCATCCCTTTTTCTTCAGTTTTTTTCCCCTGGGTATGATATATATCTGAATGATTTTAATAATAGATAAATAATCATAATTATATAAAAAAGAATTAAATTAAAATTATTGCATATCCCGTTGGAGGAAAAGATATATTCCCCTGGTCCTTAATATAAAACTCAATTCTTGAGTTGGTTTTGGTCCTAAATGCAAAACCCATTTCTCATATTTATTAATTTTTTTAAATTACCCTTATAGATACTCTCTCAACCATAATCAAGTAGAAAAGAGAAAAAGAGATATTAAGAAAGATGATTATGATATTTTAGAAAAAATGTCACTTTTTTTATAATTAACTAACTTACCTAACTTTTTTAATCTAATCAAATTAGTTAAATGAGTCATATATTAAGGACCGGAGGAGTAGTATTTTGGAAGGAACCAACCAAACCGAGAACTGTGATGCAAATTGTTAAATTTTATATTTCTTAAAAAGGGATTTGTATATGAAAAGGCACACTTCACAGTTGTTATGCAGAGAAGCATCACAGAACTGTTGTGCAAATTAAACTACGCAGCAAATCAAATGTGGAAGTTTGACCCAAGGAGCAAATGAAATGCATTAAGCAGTCTTAATTGATTTTAATCACGGACATGTGCAAGGACTTAGCTAGCTAGAACATTTGACTAATTAAAAGCACTGATGTTGCTTTTCAAGGACCTGGTGAGAAAACTGGAACGACACCGTCACTTCAGACTAAAACAGAGAAATATTATAGAAACAAGCAGAAAGTGATATATAGATACATAAAATAGACGGACAACAATTGATCTTAGGAACTAGAAATGCTGTCCATAATGTTAGACACTACCTCCTTGCTTTCTCTCAAAACTTCAACACTTCGATTGAGTGTGGCACGCTTGCCAGCCATGGAAGGTGACTCCTTTAACAAGCTTTCAATTCCTCCGAAACTTGGAGACGTAAAACAAGCAGTGATTTCCTTCTCCAACTCCCTCTCTACCAGATTGTTAATGCTAAACTGCAGATGCAGGGCCATGGTATCAATCATCCTCCTCAGCACAATCCTCCAATAAGCCATCATTCTCATCTTCAGGTCACAAGCTTCGTTCAGCACTTCCATGTATCGTCCCAGATGACCGATCTCTATGTTGTTTCCAAGACCATTAATATTTGCAACACTATGACCTTGGAGCACAAGTTCAACGAAAGAGGACTGATGAGCCATCAGATTACTGTATTCAGTCATGTACTCATGCTTACACGTGTAATCTGTCAGCTTTTCCATTTCAATAGCCTCCTTTACATGCTTCTTTGAATTCTCTCTCATTCTCAAGATTAGATTTTCTCCCGCTCTGCATGTACATCTCTGAAGTTGGTAGTAGTGTTCTGAATGACGATTTATGACTCCGATCACCACTTTTTCCAGATAGTCCCACACATCATCAATGAATTGAATGGGTCTCGATGAGATTCCTCCGACTTTCCTCTTTAATAATGCCAGAAAAGCTGTGCGAGGCATAAAGTTTGGGAGGCCTATCCCCTTGGCTTCCTCCAAAAGCATTATTTCATCCATGAGGAACTTCTCTGTGCGGTTGCCTTCTGGAGATTCGTGGAGATCCTTTGAGTGCTCGTTGAGCTTCTCAACCAAACGAGCAGTACAATGCATGTTTTTGTCTTCTGGGTACTCATCAAATTCTCCTCTGATTAGAATTTTCTTTAGTGACTCTTTCACTAATCCAATTATATGCATGAAGGCAGCCATAGCATCAGCAGCACAAGTCAGGTTCTTTGGCAAGCTTTCTAGCTCAGAAAGCTGAGAATTGAGCTTCTCGTTGATTTTTCTCAACATCTCAGGTAGTGTTTTCGAAATAATTGAAGCTTGAAGCCGAACCAGCCTCTGAGCCAAAACTGGTACACCCACCATGGATTTGTCTATCTTTGACAGAAGAGGGTGATTCCGAAACAACATAGCTTCCTCTTTTCTAGCATCTTCATAAGACTCATCGTTAATTCGATTCCTGACACAGATATAACCAAGTCCGATGTTTACATCATCAGCAGTAACCTTTTCTTTCAATCCTTCAGGGGCCTTATCTGCTTTTGTTACTACGGCCAGAGTTCTCAAACCAGTTCTATCAACACTCTGTGACAACCTAATGGATTCACAGGTTGGAAAGTCAACAGTAGCTGATAGAACATTCAGAATGATAGTTTCTTCCGGTTTGATATACTCCATGATTATGTCTTTGATCTGGTCATAAATGTCCTCAGGCTGTCCATGAACAGGAACTCTGGTTATGCCTGGAAGATCCACCATGGTGAGATCGGGAACACCATCCTTCTTAACCACCAAAGTCAATGGGGTGTTGCAAATCCCTTTGGACCTCCCTGCAAGTTCTTCAGTGGCTGTGTTTATAGCATCAGAGACATTTTCTTCATCTGTTGACATGGCTGTGTTGTTATACTCCAACACAAGCTCCGGCTCCGGTACAGGGTGGTTCTGGAGCCTCATAATCAAGGGCACCCTCGTGCAGATTCCGTGCCCACGTGGTAAACTGATTCCTGCGAGAGATTCCAAGACACTGGACTTGCCAGAAGACTGGTCACCGACGACGACAATGCTCGGGAGCTGGATACCTTCTTTGGTAATGTTCAGACGTCTGAGGTTTTCGACAGCGTCAAGAATTGGTCGGATCGTTTCATTGTAGAAAGAGGCAATGGGTGGAACAACGTCGCCATTGGAGCTCTGAGGTTGGTGATGATCTGGGTCTAAGGACAAGGAGTGTATCTTCTGATTAACCCAGTCGTTGAAAGAATTCTTTCCCATTCGGCTGGATGTTTTTTTGAGTTCAGAGTTTACAAAAAAGTGAGAAGAGAAGCAGAGAAGATGTGAATTCAAGAGAACGAGTAGGGAGACTGTGGTTCATATAGAAATGTGTGAGCTGAGAACAATGAATCGCATGAAGGGGTTTGGAATTTTTGAGGTGAAAGAGAGATGGAAAGTTGGCGCATTTCAGTGACTTGCCCAAGAAGGAGGAGAGAAAAGAATATGTGCCAGTAACTTTGTAAAGTTCAAATATATTAATAATATTCGATGAATTAAAAAAAAATATAACAATTTAATTGAGAGTTTTCAACGCAAACTCAATCCATGGAAAATAATAGAATTAAAATATGTAAGAGATAATATTAAAAAAAAAATCTTTTTTTTTTCATTTTTTTGTACATTTTATCATGACTTGGAATAAAATATAATCATTATTAAGAATTACAAAAATGGCAACAAGGTTGTTTGACTTATAATTCATGAGGTTATAGGTTTAAATCTCATCATGAATTCAAACAGATTTTTTGCGCACAATTTTTTGTTTCAAAAACTTATTTAAAATGTTATTCTACAAAATCAGTTTTAGAACATGAAAATAGAGAATATAATCAAACGAATCCACAACCATCTTTTGATATTATCGGGCTACGAATAACTATGTGCAGATCACACTTGTGTCGTACGAAAGGAATATTTTTGTAAAAGCATGTGATTCTCAATTAAAAACATGATTGGTGCCCAAATAGTGAAATAATTCTCCTCGTGTATGTTGGGATCGAACCCTATTCTCCTTAACTAGAAGATAGGCTTGGAAATTGAGTTTGGATGTTTATCACTGAAGTAATGAGCATCAAATCTGTACTGTCTATATTAAAATTGGAGATTTAAGGGTATAATTTAATTTTTATATTTTTAGCAATTTAATGTTGACAAAATCTAAGGTAAAAATTATCGTTTAACTATCAGTTTTTCAAAAATAACTTTATATTTAAAAAATATTAGTTGAAAATTTTAATTATGTACTGTTTAAATTATATCTGCATGATGCATATGTCACCATCTTGACTATAACGCTCATCATGCTGAAGAACATCCAAAATGATTTCTGTTTTTTTTTTTATATTTATTTAACCTCACCAAAATGGTTTCTTTTTTTTTTTAAATATATATTTTGTCCCGCCCCCGGTGGGCCAACCTGACCAAAATGGTTTCTAATACCTTATAAATGAATGGAATCATTGTTCATAACCGTTCATATGCAAGATGCTACTTTATGTGACAAACACTATAAGGTTTGCTCAAGAAGGAGGAGAGAAAAGAAAATGTGCTAGAAACTTTATTGACTTGGCCCCAATATAAAGTTCAAATATGTTAATAATAAGAAAAATCATAAAAAAGACAGTCAAAATTAAAAAATTATAGACAAGGACCCATTCACAAAAATTGTTATTAAAACCTGTACTATTATTATCAAACTTATAGTATTGTTGTAACGGGTCCTTGTTTATAATTTTTCTATTTCAGCGGTATTTTTTTGTGATTTTTTCTCAATAATATTTGATGAATTATAAAATTATATAACAATTAAATTGAAGCAAACTCAATCTATGGAAAATAATAAACCAGAAATATGTAAGACGTAATATTTAAAAAAAACTTTTTTAATTTTTGTGTGTATATTTTATCATCGCTTGGAATAAAATACTACCTCCGATCCTTAATATAAGACCTTGTTTGAGTTTTATTTTGGTCCTAAATATAAGACTACAATCCACTTTGTTTATCATATCTATATATATTTTTTCTAAGTTAGTCCTTCTAACAATATTAATTCTAATCTATACACTTGATTAGTAAGTATATTTTTGGAAAGATAATATCTATTTATGATAAATAGCTAACTTAACTTGTTTCTTTAATCTCCTCAAATTAGTTAACTAGCTTTTATAATTAGAACTGGAGGTAGTATAATCACTATTGAGAATCACAAAAATGCCAACAAAGGTTCATAAAGTTTTTTGTTTAAATCTTGTCATGAATTCAAATCATGTTATTAATATGAAGATTGTATTTGTAGATGATTAATTGATTATTCTCCACTTTGCTATTTTGGATATGTCTTTCAAAATAATTATTTCAACAGATTTTTTTTAAAAAAATTCGTTTGAAAAATCTATTTAAAATATTATTCTACAGAATCATTAAAACATAAAAATAGAGACTATATCATAATCAAACGGATCTATAACCATGTTTTGATATTATGGGGCTACAAGTAACTAGGTGCAGATCATATTTGTCTAGTTACTCGAGTATGAAAGGAATATTTTTGTAAAAGCATGAAACTCTGAATTAAAAAGGTTATTTAACATGATTGCTGCCCAAATATAGTGAAATAATTCTGCTTGTGTATGTTGGGATCAAACCCTATTCTCCTTAATTAGAAGTGGGGCTTAGAAATTCAGCTTGGGTGTTAATCACTCAAGTAATAAGGTTCAAATCTATACTGTTTATGTTAGAATTGGACAGTTGAGATTTAATATGATTTGATTTTTATATTTTCAACAATTTAATGTTGACAAAATCTAAGGTAAAAATTCTCTCTCGATGGTCAATTTTTGAAAAATAATTTTTTATTTAAAAACTATTAGTTGAAAACTTTAATTATGGACTGTTTAAATTATATTTGTATGATGCACGCGTCACCATTATATTGAACACCATAACGCTAATTATGGTAAAGGCTAAAGAGCAACCAAAATGGTTTCTGTTTTTTTTTTTTTTTAGCTGACAAAAATGGTTTATTTTCCTTTCCTTTGTTTTCCCCCCACGTTTTGCCGACCTGAGGAAAATGGTTTCTAATACCTTATAAATGATTGGAATCAATATTCATGGCCGTTCATATGCAAGTGGCCATTTTATGTGACAAACTTTATAAGGTTTGCTCACCAAAAAAAAAAAAAGACAAATTTTATCAGGTTGGCTCTCTTCCCATTCCACGTCATATTTTGTACGGCAACTTGAAATGGAAGACTGGTGATTTGGAACTTCTTTTTTCTTCCCATCCTTTTCTCTCTCTGTTTTTTTTAACCATTAGATTAATACTTTAATGGTTTAGATTTAAATCTTTTTAAAATTATTATTAAATTAAAAAAATAAATAAATAAAAAATTACAAACCCTATTAATTCTAATTGTTTGCAAATGTAAAAGATTTTTAAAATTATTTTTATAAATAGTCTATAAAAATTAAAATCTCAATCATTGAAATACGTTAATCTAATCGTTAGAAAAAGAAGAAGGGAGAAGAGGATGAGAAGGGAAGATGTGAGGTTTTGAACGGACTCGTGGAAGGACATAATATTGCACAAAAAGATTTTAGAAGAATAATGTAATATATGTTATAATTAAGTAATTCATTAATTTTTTTGTGGTAAAAAAGTATTCTTTTTAATATCTTCAAATTAATCAAATAAGTTTTATATTAAAAATTGGAGTTAGTAGCCAATCATTCATTCAAGCCGTGCACGTCCGCGAAAAATTATTTTTTTTGTAACATATAATGTGGAGATGAATTACAAAATTATAAAACAATTTATGATATTGAGAGCTTTCTTTTTTTGACCAGATATTGAGAGCTTTCAAAGTAAACTAAATCAATGAAAAATAATAAACTCGAAACGTGAAAGACATAGTATTAAAAATACATCCTTTTTCCTTTTTTGTAAATTTTATCATTGTTGGTAATAAATATAATCATTACCGAGAATGACAAAATGTGCAGGTTAGCTAAAGTTGTTTGCCCATGAGTCGTAAAATTGTATCTGTTAATCTCATCACATATTCAAATCCTGTCATTAAATTTACAAAAGACATAATATTAATGAAATATTACATCCGACCGTAGTTATAATATCTTATTTATAGAGTATAAATAATATTATCTCTGGTCCTAATTATAAGACTCAGTTGACTAAGTTGAGGAGATTAAAAAAAGAGGTTAAGTTAGTTATTTGTAATAAATAGGTATTATCTTTCTTAAAATATCTTTATTAATCAACTATATTGGCTAGGACTACAATTATCAGAAGGACTATCTTGAAAAAAATATATAAATATGAGAGACAAAATGAATTGAAATTTTATATTTAAGACTAAAATAAAAATTAAAAAAAATCTTATATTAAAGACCGAAAGTAGTATCTTATAATTAAAAGTAGAGAGAATAAATCTTTATTCATATATTCAAAATGTCCTTTCCATGGCGGAAACCTTTTTTTCTTTTTGGTGATAACGGAAGCTTTAAAACGCTTGGTTCTGTTCCCACTGTCTTTTCAGTTTTCACATTGTGCGGGTCATCTTCCGTACACCTCTAAGTCAAGTCAATATTATTTTTTATTTGATGCCATGCATTTGTCCTCTTTCCTTCCGGCATTTGTTCCCTTTCGCTTTTGTCTACGCAAATTCTTTTTATCCTTCTTTTTCTCTCACCACCACTTTTCCTCATCAGAGCATCACCATGCTCTAATTTTATTTATTTCATTACACACACACATATATATATATTCCTTTCAGCGTCACTTTGAGCATTACCCTTAACATTAAATTTAGAAAAAAATAAAAAATACATAATTTTATATTTACTGAGGTAAAATAGTACGCTGATGTTAAAAAAAAAAACAAATTACCCGTATGAGGAAGATGAGCTCTTTCTTGACAGTCATATCAGTCATATGTCAGGTTGAAAAACAAAATCAAATTTACGTTATATTGGTCTCGTGTAAATAAATTTAAGGATCAGATTCTCAACCTCATCAGGGCATAAGATTCTTTTGGCGGTGTCCTATTATGTCTTTGCCTCTTCAAAATGAGGAGGAGGGAATAAAATTTTTATTTTGAACATAAATGTAGAAGGTAGATAATTAATTTACAAATATTAAAAATTAATCAAATTGATTATTTGTTAAAAAAATGTGTATCGATTCCTTAAAAGTACCCTTTAATATAATTTCCACAGAAAACTACTCCTTTATTGATTTTTTTGTTATGTACAATCAAAAAAGAGGAATTAAGAAAAAATTACAAATTTAAAAAATAAAATGAATTAAATATTCTTAGGACCAA